AAGACTGTATGCTGAGGTGCACAGAATGCTGTTATTTTTCCGCCAAAGTGGTTAAATTCATTCAGGCAGAATATTTATTTCATTCCTCACTACATACACTTGCCCAAAGCACAAAAATACCTAATCTGACATATCTCTCCCTAAATAAAGCAAACAAAGCAAAACAAAAGCACCACCATCTATGTAATAAATATAGAGAATATAATTTTGTACAATTGCAGCATGTATAAATTCCTATATAAAAGCCCCATTGAGACAGGTAGATAGTAAATGTAATTCTCTTCTGTCTCTATTAATGGTATAGTAAAATCAAAACTGAAATTGGCATTAAGGATCTTCAATGTATAAGAAATTTACATGAGCAATGTGTGAGCTACAATCCCATCTTCAATTCTTAGGTCTATGGGGAAATGTTGAAAACACAATTCCATTGTTTCATATAAGCCCTTATGCGCACAAAGAAATGTAGTCTTTAAAGAAATTAATGCACACCATTTTGAAGCCTGAATTCAACAGCAATAGTATTAGCACTTATTTATATACTGCTCCATAGTGCTTTATAGCATTGTCTAAGTCAGAGGTTGCCAACTGGTGGTCTGCAGACCACTGGTGGTCTGTGAGAAAATTTTGGTGTTCCCCAGCGCACCTGTGTCTGCAACAGAGATGATACAGGTGGAGGATGGACTGATGTGCATGGGGAGGGAGGGTAGTGTGCAGGAGATCACAACATCAGAGCCCTTCCCAGGTGTTCCCTGGCCTGTGAGGCGGTGGGGGGAAAGGAACTTCTGAGCTGGTATTGCCTCCTGCCTCCCCCTCTGGAGTTGCCTCCATCAAGCCTCCTCCTTCCCGCTGGGTGTGTGAGAGCTTCTGTCGAGGAGGAAGCACGCTGGGAGGAGGCTTGTCAGATGCCAGAGGGGTGGCGAGCGCTTTGAGGCTCCTGAGGGGAGGGCTGTGGGAGATCACAACATCAGAGCCCTTCCCGGGTATTCCCTGGCCTGCGAGGGGATGGGGGGAAAAGAACGTCTGAACTGGTTTACCGATCAGATCATGAAATCCGCAGAGGAGGTGGTGTTGCTATCTTCTATAAAAAGTCCCTACATCTAAAAAACATCCAAGTTACCCAGGAGCTTGCTCTTCCTGAGACCATCGTCTGTGAACTGTCCTTAAATATCACATTTTGATTCTTACTATGTTACAGAGCCCCTGATTATGACATCAAACATGTAAACAAGTTAAACTCACTACTAACTCCTGCCCACACGCTTTTATCTTTCTTGGTGATTTTAATCTACCTCATATTAACTGGACGCTAAACAAATGTACAACTAACCCATACATGCAAACTTCTACAATGCTGCAACAAATCTGGGACTGGAACAACTAGTAACCAACAATACTAGACTTAACAACTGCCTCAATCTCATCTTCTGCAATAGTTTGAATTCAATTTATAGAATAAAATTAAAGAACCCTTTTCAACAGTGACCATAGCATGATTGACTTTTGTCTCAACATACTTCCACACATAAATCATCATAACGATGGGATCCCCAATTATAACTTCAAAAAAGGCAACTATGATCTTATAGACAATGATCTCTCATCTCTTGATTGGCAATTTCTATTCACTGGATGCAATACTGTCGAAGACCATTACAAGATATTTTTATTTGAAGTCAAAAGAATCATCAACCTATATGTACCAATAACAACTCCCAAAACAAAACAAAAAAGCAAATTACTCATAACATTAAGGAAGTTCCAATCCAAAAAGAAATCCCTTTGGCTGAAAAAACAATTCTGATCATGTTGTCAACTTTAAAAGCCGATACAAAAATTTATGCCATCAGATAAAGACTGAATGCACCAATTATCACATTAAACAAGAGGAAAACCTTCTACACACCAATTCCACCCGCACTTTCTACAATTTTGCAAGCAACAAACTGAAAGACTCAAGGTCCATCCAACCCCTGAAAAGACCTAATGGTAAAGACTGCAATGATGACACTATTAAAGCCAACCTCTTTAACACATTCTTTGGCTCAGTATTTGTAAACAGCAATGGATCATGCCCAGTATTTCCTAGTTGAACCACAGACAACTACAATAATATAATACATGTCGAATTTACAAAAGTCAATGTTGAAAAAGCACTACACAATCTAAAACCATCTCTATCTATTGGACTGGATGAAATATGTGCCTACTTCTTTAAAAAAACTATCCACTGTCATAGCAGAACCTCTAAGCATAATCTTTGAAAAATCTTTCAGGACCAGCTCCTTGCTAAACCTATGGTCACTAGCCACAGTCATCCCCATCTTCAAAAAGGGAGACCCCAGCCTAGTTGAAAATTACAGACCAATCTCTTTATGTTGCATTACCTGTAAAGTCATGGAATCCATCATTAACCAATCCATTATCCTCCACTTAGAGACAAACAACCTACTCTCTAACAAACAATTTGGTTTCAGAAAAAAACTATCCTGTAATCTGCAACTCTTACACTGCAAAAGCATATTGACTACACAACTCGATCAGGGCAAAGCAATAGATGCATTTTATATAGACTTCTGTAAAGCCTTTGATTCAGTGGTACATGACAAACTACTCCTAAAACTAAAATCTTATGGTATCTCTGGATACCTGCATAACTGGATAGAAGCATTCCTGTCAAACAGACAACAAATGGTCAAAATTGGGAGCATCTTATCAAATCCTATGCCTGTCAACAAATCCTATACCTGTCCCCCAAGGCAGTGACCAACTCTTTTCATACTCTACATAAATGATCTCTGTGATCATATTAAGAGCAACTGCATTCTTTTCGCTGATGATGTAAAGCTATTCAACACCACTGACAATACTGCTTACCCTTCAAAAAGATCTCGACTAAGTATCAGAATGGTCAAACAAATGGCAACTTCAAATCTGAACAAATAAATGCTCTGTCTTACATATTGGCAAAAAAAAATCAGAAAATAAAATACAAGCTGAATAATTAAGACCTTGTTGATGATTCAAATTCTGTCAAGGATCTTGGAGTACTCATCTCTAATGATCTAAGTGCTAGAGCCCACTGTAACTACATAGCCAAAAAGGCATTAAGGGTTGTTAACCTAATTCTGCATAGCTTTTTCTCCGGTAATATCACACTACTAACTAGAGCATACAAAACATTTATTAACAATATCAGGATCAGAGATGGTATTCAGCAGGTTCTGACCACTTCTGGAGAACCGGTAGCAGAAATTTTGAGTAGCAAATACCACCTCTGACTGGAGATTTTACAGTATCCTTCTCCTGCCATGCCCACCAAGTCACACCCACAGAACTGGTAGTAAAATTTTTTTGAATCCCACTACTTCACTACAGGATGTGAAAGGTAATTAATGAAAGTTTGCTTTTTTGGCCCCCTTCTCTTTGGACCATCTTAATATAATTTGATAGTTTAAGATAACAGCTGCAACACGTGGCTTTTTTTTTTTAATTTGTGAACTGCAGGAATATAAAAATGGACAAGGAATTGGAAATAGTAATCTTTCTAATCTGTTCAGATGCTACAGGCTATTTTATACCAAGAAATCCTTCATAAGAAGATGTAGTTGCAAGTTCTGGGAAGTAGTTAAAGCTTCCCTTTTTAAAAATATCTTTGGAATACTATTACTACGCAAAGATTAAGAAAATAACCAAGATAAAAGAAAGCAATATTGCTCAGTGATTGGAATTAAGAAACAATACATCTCTAATCACTACAATAGACTATCATGATTCATTTCTTGCCTCTAAAAACATAGTCTTTTGGAGTATAAGAAATATGACAATGATTCAATTGATAGGATCATATCAGTCCAGTAAGACAAAATATATACAAGTATTTTGCTTATATGTTCAGTCTTTTTATTCCTCCTTTTTTATGGTCTAAACAAATAAACCAGAAGGTGATCAGCTAATTATAGTCATATTTTCCTCACGCTTGAAAATAAGAGTTAGAAAACTGCATAATTAGCAAAAAAAAAGTTTTAATATAAAAACTGGAATTCAGTCACCTAAATTGATTAATATGGTCAATATTCAATGCATCAGTCAGTGAATTTTCAGTCAATGCATCAGTCAATGCTGAAAAGCATTGGATGCCTGTTTGATCATCAATTGGACCCGAGACATGAAGAATCCCTCACAGACTTTCAATAACCATCTACTTAAATATGTCTTACATAATTTGTTTGCCTTATTTTGAAGCTCAGCCCCTTATGATCTGTCACTTCTTAAACTGATCACATGCTGATTTATTTTGCTACCTCTCCTTTCCCTTTCATTTTCTTAGTTTGTTCATATCACTTTTTATTCTTCCAGCCTCATCTAAAAATCATGTGAAAGAAAGCCTCTTTAATTTATCCTCATTTTCTATATATTCATATATTTAATTATCTATTTATCTGATTTTACTGTGTAGCTTTGTTGTTTAGCAACTATTAATAATGTAATGGAATAAATTTTCAATCCAAACTATCAGTAAACTGTTATCAACTTTTCTTTATGAAGTCATTATCAAGACTTTCAAAGCCATAATCACACATTTAGATAATTACTAAGAATCAAACTATTACATAATATTAATTTTAATTTCAGATTACTCATGTTAAAAAAAGTATTTTGTTTCCTTTTAGATTTTCAGTATCAAAATAAAATATTTTTAAAAAATTAAAATACATTTTCCTAACTGAAAAAAAGGGAACTCCAGGAGATACAAGATATTTACACAGATCAATACAATAAAATGTATGGTATTTTACAAAATAATAATTCTGTAAATAGGCTAAAAGTGTACTGATTGCTTATTTTAATATTCCAGATCATGAACTCTCAGCAAAATAATTCAACTTATTTATTTTAATTAGTAGGAGATTCTTTCTCTAGTCATCTTGCAGCCACCTAAACTAGGGGTCAAAAATCAGGTAAAATTAATGTATTATGAAATATAATATCTCACTTACTCTTGTTTTGAATCAGCATCACAGTTGCAATTGTATTTTGAATCAGTACAATTGCGTTCAATGCCACAGGCACATTTCTGAATGCCTGGTCCAGAGCCACCCCAGTAGGACTGCTTTTCATTGGCACGCCCGACCCACCAGGTATATGGATTGCCATCTGCAAAAACAAGGAATGGAAAATTAAATGCAGCAGAGTTTCATAATATGAAAAAAGGATGCTTTTATTTTATCTCATGAGTCATTTAGCCCTTCTTGAAAAGAAATGCATTGCTCAAACATGATTAGATACTTTGCTTCAACCAAAGAATGTAGAGTCACAACCCCCTCCATATATTCCAAATATACTGCACCCAAATCCTTGTAATCTAATTGATACTTTGTTATTAGTGACAGCAGCAAGAGAAATATTGCATATTCTTAAGCAGACCATAATTACAGTAAGTTGTCATCATTATACAGTGCATTCAGACTGCTTTCCCTTTTGTCAATTTTGTTATGCTGCAGCCTCATTCTACAGTTGTTGAAATTCATTTTTTTCTCATTCATCTACATTCAGTACCCCATAATGCAAAGTGAAACCAGAAATTTAGAAATCTCTGTAAATTTATTAAAAATAAAAAAGTGAAATATCACATTAATATAAGTATTCAGATTCCTTGCCACGATGCTTGAAATTTAGCTCAGGTGCCTCCCCTTTCTCTTGATTGTTGCTAATATGTTTCTATACCTTGATTACCATCAATATATGGTAAATTAAATTAATTGAACATGATTTAGAAAGGCACATATGTCTCCTCACAGTTGACATTGTAGCAGAGCAAAAGCCCTGAGGTCAAAGGAGAAGAGCTCAGAGAAAGAATTATTGCAAGGCACCGTCTGGGAGAGGCTACAATAAAATATCTGCTGCACTGAAAGCACAGTGGCCTCCCCAATTTTCAAATGGAAAGAAGTTTGGCACAACCAAGAACTGGTCGCCTGATTAAACAGACCAATCAGGGGAGAAGGGCCTTAGTAAAAGAGATGACCAAGAACCTGATAGTCACTCTGACTGAGCACCAGAAATCCTGTAAGGAGATGGGACAGGGTTCCAAAAGGACAACCATCACTGCAGCCCTTCACCAATCTAGGCTTTATGGCAGAGTGTCTAGATATAAGTCTCTCCTCAGTGCAAAACACTTGAAAGCTTGCTTGGAGTTTGCAAAAAAAACACCCAAAGGATTCTTAGACTATGAGAAACAAGATTCTCTGAACAAATGAAACAAGATTGAACTGTTTGGCCTGAATTCTAAATGTCTGGAGGAAATCAGACATTGCTAAAAATTATCCCAACAATGAAGCATGGTGGTGGTAGCATCATGTTGTGCGGGTGTTCTTCAGCAGCAGGGACTGGGACACTGGTCAGGGCTGTCAGAAAGCTGAATGAAGCAAAGTGCAGAGATATCGTCAATGAAAACTTGTTTCACAACATCCAGGACCTCAGATTGGGCTGAAGGTTCACTTTCCAACATGACAATGATCCAAAGCACACAACCAAAACAAAACAGGAGGGACTTTAGGGAAAACTTTGTGAATGTTCTAGAGAGGCCCAGCCAGAGCCATGACCCTATTGAATGACCTTATTGAATATCTTTGGAAGGATCTGAAAATGGCTGTCCACCAATGGTTATCATCCAACCTGACTGAGCTTGGGAGGATTTGCAAGGAAGAATGGCAGAAAATCTCCCAATCCAGGTGTAAAGCGTGTCGCATCATACTAAAAAAACCTTGAAACTGTAATTGCTGCCAAAGGTCCTTCAACAAAGTATTGAGTGAAGGGTCTGAATATCCCAAGGTGATATTTCAGTTTTTTCTTTTTAAATAAATTAACCAATATTTCTAAAATTCTGTTTTCACTTTGCCATTATGTACTAAGTGTACATTAATGAGAATAAATGAATTTCAACAACTGTAGAATGAGGCTGCAGCATAACAAAATTGACAAAGGTGAAGGGGGTTTGAATACTTTCTGAATGCACTGTACTTGAAAGATGGAAAGAAAAATCATGTTTCCGGTGCAATTGTCAAATATGAAGAGTCACTGAAGAATGACTCAACAGGTACAGTTTTTTCAATTGTAGGGCAAACATTTGTCCAGTCAAGCTATGCAAATTGCAAAGTGTGTAAAAATTCATAGAAAAAGTAAATATGCAGAAAACTTCTGGTTTGTAAGACTTTGGCGGCGGCAGGAATCCGTGATCGTGCGCGGTTTCTGCTGTGCTCGCCACTGGAGTGCCCCTAATCCAGATGGATTTGGGGGCTAATAGTTATCCCGTAGAGGTAACTGAAGATAGGGGAGAACCAGCAGGGGTCCGGGAGAATCGCAACCCCCCTCCTCAGCTGGCTTAACTCCCTTTTCTGAAGGCGGTGGAGCGGCGGTCAGCAATGGCCGCCACAAAGAAGCTTTCATCCGGATAAGAATGTTCAGGAGGAAGCTGAAAAAGTGAAAGTTCTGGCTGAGTGGGATAATAAGTAGCATTTAAATACCCTGGAATTTTAATTTTGTCAAAGATACATCATTCCCAAAGAAGATTGGGAAAAGCGGCAGATGAAAGTTAAAAGGGAAAGTTTGTTTTCTCTCACTCTCCTTCCTTACGGTGATAGCAGATGGAAATCGGAAGATAATTGAAATAGAACAGACAAATGATACAAGCATAATGATTTAAATTGAGATGAAATAAATAAGACAGAATTAAGAGAGTAAAAAGAGGGGAGAAGCTATATAGAAAATGTAGAATGATAAATAAGATATGAAATGGTATATAATGTGAGCATGAACTTGATTTATGTCTGTATAAAAAGATGTAACCCGGGACTAAGCCACTTTCCAAAAAGAAGTTTTATGTTTTTATGTTTTGTGTTTTGTTTGTGTATGTTTCTTTATTGAAAATTAATAAAACTTTTATTAAAAAAAAGTCAATATGCTTTTAAGTTAGGAATATTCAAGATAAACAAAGTAAGATCTTAATTCTTCACCCAGCATTTGTTCTTCAAGCAATAATAATATATATTTATGAAATCTCCTGAATTAACACCAATATATCAATTCCATGTCCGTAGAGTTTCAAGAATGAAATAATTTTGTATCCAAGTTTTCCAAAGTGAGTAATAGATGAGATTTGACTCTATGGATGTAGCTGACATACAACTTCTTGATTGGAAGTTCTATGAATAAAATGAAATAGATAGGCAGTAATCGCTTGAAGATTACATAAAGGGTCCTAGAATTGCCATATCAGATGACTGATATCCTTACATTAGGCTAATGCCAGGCATAGTAGTTTCATTTATAGGTTATTTTTACATATATTTTAAACAATTAAATATGTGTGCTGTTATACTGAGCAGTGTCTTTGATATCAATGTTCCAGTCACAGATCTACATGGAGTGAAAAACTATTTTAAACTGGCTGGTGCAAATCCACATCTGCTCATATAACATATCTTTCCTTCCTTCAAACAGAGAAATATTTATTACACAGCAAGCTGGATTTGCATGACCAGTTATTGCATGATTAAATGAACCCCAGTTTATTCAACCCAATTTTCTACATTCTCATAATATTCACCACATGGGCTGAGGTAGCACAATCTGTCTGTATCAAAGTTAGTTGGCTAGTTGTTGTATGTGCTTTAATCATAGCTGTCAGTTATTCATTTTCCAATTACTGAACTTTTGAAAAAATGCTTAGCCATGCCTATAGTGATAATCAGACAGTTGATGAATTCACTCTATTTGACAGTTGTGAATTCTTTCCCTGAAAAAGCCCAATGGGACTTCTTGGTTAGAGACCTTAAGGAAGTCTTGCAAGGCAATTAAATACTGTGATGTAATGGCAATTTTAATCCATGCTACAAACTTTAATTGTAATAATATTATTTGCTTTGTTCTCAATATATGGATTTTTATCCACATAAAATGCATTTTTTTGTATTTTATGAGACCACATAATTTTTTAATTAAAAATATCCTTAAATAAAAAAACCCTAACCATCTATAGCAGTAATGGAAATCCATGTACTGTGCTTAATATAACACAGTGTTTTCAGTTATTGCTGGCGTATTAGGTGCCTCATTGTCAGAATATTCATGAAGTAGCAGAGGCATAGTAACAAAGTCAACCAATGAATAGACATGGCAATAGACCAGCCAATGGGAGCTGAATTGGAAAGTGAAACTAGAAGTAGTCTGGTGTGGCTCTTACTTATCCTGTCTGCTGAACTGAAACTGCTTCTCTGCCTGCCTGTGTTTTTGCTTGTAACTTCTAAGTTGGAAGAACTGACTTTGGTATTATACATTTACTTATATATTATTATGTATATAAAGAAGTTAATGAATCTTGCTTAATAAGTCATCAGTGTGTGCTTTCTGGAGTTGAATTTCAGCTGCAAAATCTAACAGGTTATGGGCCCAGAACACCCAAAAAGATTGCATTGCTATTTAAGCTGAGAGAGACTGTCTGTGTTTAAAAGGAGAAACAAGGCAGAGAAAAACTATGGAACATGGCTGATAAAATTAAGGAGAGCTCTCTACCACGATTGGGTCAGAAGAATTATACAATTTGGGCTGCAAAGATGGAATGTTTCCTGAAAGCTAAGGAACTGTGGGATATTGTGGAAAACCCACCCCAAGTGCCATTAACTGCTGCAGATCAGAGACAGCATGATAAAGCAATGGCTTTATATCATCTTAAGTTTAGAAGACGAACAGGAGGGAATGGGGACTTTGCGGTATCCTTCCCCCAGGATTGGGGTGGGAATGGAGATTTTACAGTATGCTTTCCCTGCTACGCCCACCAAGCCACACCACGCCTACCAAACCATGCCCATTTAACCGGTAATAAATTTTTTTGAATCCCACCACTGAGCCACACCCAGACTAACATACCAAGTTCTAAATTACAACCATTGCATAGGGTGATGAGAAAAAAAAGGATTTATATGTATGCCAAAAATGTTCATCTCACCTACCTTGCAATTGTTTGCAAGCAAGTTTGTGCAGGATTGTTATAAGCCTGACCATGAAAGTGTTTAAGGACTTAATATGGTAATATTTTCAGAGTTTGCCAGTGATGTCAAGCAAATATTTAACAGCTGCCTTAAATAGCTATTCAGTTTTGA